CCGTGTATAAAGAATTTATATCAGTCATATATTTCTAACTTAGATCACCCGTATGTAGCCCAGGTAAAGCATGCACATCGGGGAACATTGTAATGTTGGTACAGTTTATCGTGTCTTCTTGCTTTAGTATTACACATTGGCTTTTCATATTCCTCAAGGTTTGAATGTTTAGGTTACACACAACCAAATGTTTTCCCATAGACTTCTATAGTAACGTTATAGCTTTTTAAAAAATAACTAGGCATTCAACAGCCATAACATTTACATATCTGCACAGTCTGGCCTTAAAGCTGCAATAAAAACACAAATTTTGGCTAGGTTACCCAGCTCCTTTTCCGAGTACAGGAAGCTGAACACACCAACCCCAGTTCCGCACCAAATATCACCTGCTTGAAAATATCTGTGCTCACATAAAGCACAAGTCATCTTGTTCAAAAAGTCAGCACCAAATATTGAAAAATATGGGCAGTTTTAATTACTGGATGGATGTGCATTTAAAAGACATAAAAATCTTACACAATATCATCCAATCACAGCCTGCATATGTCTCTACATCTGTACTGAAGGCTCCCTACGAAAACCGCACTGTCACAACCAGTTCTGATTTAGTGTAGTAGAACCTGTAGACACAACTGTCTAAAACTGCACTTGTCAAATTTGTGATGTATTCATTGTAAATAGATGTAGCTTCTTGGAAACAAATGGAAATTGTTTCAAGTTCAATACTTTTTCCTATCTGACAGGTCTATATGACACCCATATACACATATCTGATGTACCAAAAGAGCTGTGAGGGTTAAATTATTTAGATTTTGTCAACTGATTACAAAATGAACTTCTGTTTTAATAAAGAACTTTCTATGACAGTACACAGGCCTTTATTGTTTATTCTTGTTTCACACAAGGATGGGTTCACAGGTCAATTCCATGGTTGCCAGACGCTGCTTCGAACATATCCCCCCAAAAGTATCTTTTCGACCCCGTATGATAGACAATACTTGGAAATTCAAAACAAATTAGGCTTTCATATTTTTAATTTATTAATGGTGAGTTGTTTGCTGACCTTTGCTGATAACAACTGAGGATAGCAAAGTCTGGTACATAACATGGAATTTGGTTGTGACACTAATAAGCTTAAGTCATAAAAGAAGCTGGACTCAGTGAGCTTGCTGGAACTGGTACCCCTGCCTTGTTTACATAGGCCAATATATAAATGACAGGTCCATATTTGGTATTTTAACTATGGGAGGTCAAGAACCAATGTTGATGCTTTCATTCCAAAGAAAAATTCATAGTGTCAACATCTTGAACCTACTCTTGAAACATGGGGAGACATCGAAGGAATTCGATAACATCTTTTAGAATGGGACATAAAGCTTGGAATTCAGGCAAAAAATTCACCAGTGAAAAGCAAAGCAACTTTAAAGTGCCAAAAACTGTCAGGTTGACAACTGAGCTCCACAAGAAAGTGTGCAGTGTAGGGGTGGCTGGTGTCCAGCAAGTTCAAACACTGACAAGTGAACCGTACCGTCTGTTAAGGCCAAGGAAGGAAAACACCCCTGAGGAGGATAAGAGTTCCCTGAAAACAAAAAGTGAAAGGTAATAACACTTTAAACTATTTATTCCTTTGGCCTAGACTTTGAAATACTTGTAGGGAATACAAGATGCTCACTGCTAAATGATATGGGTGGATAAACTTACCAAGTTCAAGTATTTGTCCTTTAACGAGATCACTTAATAAAAGTTTAATATAATGGACAGTTTTCAGTTATTAGGTACAGCAAGGGATCAAATTCTAATACATATATGAGTGGTTTGTTCAATACCATATAAAAAACAGTGTTGTTACACCCTAATTAAGGGCTTGAGGGGGATAGAAATAGAATATGCATTTGATCTGCCAGGGGAGATAATTCAGAAATGTCGAACACTATCACATACTTAAAAGGCTTATTTAGAAGTTTTCAAAGTAGTCAATGGGTTTTCTTTAATCTGCAGGACTGCTGCTGATGTTTACCACCTGTTGCATGTTGGAGAGACTGACAAACTGTACAATGAGGCATTCCGCCAGCATGCCAAGACTTCGCCTATGTGTAAGGGGGACATTGTCATGGACATAGACAATGAACAGCAGTGGGGACTGAACTGGATAGAGAGACTTAAATGCACTGACTGTACATACCTGTCGGGTACCATAAACTGTACAAGGAGGTAGAGGGTAGTGGAATGAGAAGGGGACGTCGATCTTCCACTGCCAATACTGGACTTCAGATAGGCCTCTCAAAATGTCCCATTGGAAGTGAGAGTTTCCGTGTCCTGTGCATGAGTGCCGATATACCTCCACCATCCCATTCAGGGATGCAGAAAGCTGCGAACAGAGTTTGTGATAATATAAAATCTCAGAACACAAAGGATATGAGAGCCAGGAGGGTGGAAATAAGGGAAATAAATAAATACAGGGGAACAAATTTAAATAACATTAGTTTATCAACTGATGCAATGTACAACAATCCACTTTGTTCAGGTGTTGGGAAAACCCCTTTTCAGCCAGCCACTCAGGTAACCTATGTGGCCACTGAGAACCAAACTAGTGATCATCAAATTTTGGCTTTAAAAACAAAATCAAAGCTCTGTTCAAAGCACAGTTTAGTTGACAACATTTCTTGTGTCAACAACCCAGACTGCACATCTGATTTGCACATGTCAGAATCAATTGGTAATGAAAAACAGTTAGCTGCAGAGTGTTTCAGGGACTTAAAGAAAGATCAAATTGAGGTAGAATTTTTGACAACAGATGCTGACAGTGCAGCTCACACAGCTCTTTCTGAAATGTATGAAGCAGGTGATATGGATGTTTCCCCACAAACTTTTCTCGATACACGGCATCTCTCAGCCAGCCATAGAAAGTTTATTAAAAATTCTAAATTTGTTGTGGATATGATGCCTGCTAGAACCAAAAAAGACAAACAAAGTTTGGCAAATACATTTTCTTTAGACTGTGCATCCAGATGTGCAGCTGAGTTCTCAGCTGCTTACTCAAGTCATGCAGGTGACCTGACAAAGTTGAAGACATCTCTTTCATGTACTTCTGATGCTATTGCAAACTGTTACATGGGTGATCACAGAAAATGTAGAAGGCAGTCATTTGTTTGCAAGGGGGAGAAGAAAAATTGGTTATTGCAAAGTAAATATTTAGATAAAAACTTCAAAATTGGAAACAATGAAACTAACTTTCAAAATTTGAGAAAATGCACTGATTTTCGTCTCGGCCCGAACATGATCGAAAAGACGCAATTCAACCTCAATAGTCAAAAGTGTGAGGCAACAAATAAGGCATTGCGCCGGTCATTACCTCGCGATACCACCTTTGCTCGTAACTTCCAAGGTAGAGCTCACAGTGCTGTTCATAGCGTCAACTGCCAGAGTCCGGTAAAGTCAATTCGCAATCTTCGATCAGGGCTTGGATGTGCTGTCACTGCAAAAGGAAAAATAGATGATGAGATAAGCAAAAGTCATAATAAAGTACTTAAAGCTAAAACATACAAGAAATCACAGAAAAGTAAGGACCGCCGTGCAAGGAAAAAGTTAGAACTATTCAAACTCCATCATTGTAGAAAAATTCATTATTCGAAAGACATGTTATTGAAAAGAATGCATATTTGAGAAATTTACACCCAAAATAGGATAATCCATCTTAAAAATTGCCCCAAACAGAAAGATCTAATGATCAGATACATAACTTACACCAAACAGTAAGGTTTATGACTTTTGGTGCACAAGCCCTGTTGTCGACAGTGAAGTCTCTCCATGTTAATTTCATGGGACTCTACTTTCAAATGCTCAACATTCACACAAGAGGCGTTATGACAGAGATGGCTCACTTCAACTTTGTTGCCAAAGTTGTCAGTGTTGCTAAAACCATCTGGAAGGCATTTATGCACAATGCAGAGGGCTATTCTGTGAGCTCTCTCCTCTGTCCGCGCCTTTGACGGCCACAAAAAGAAGCAACGACCATAGCCCTGCTTATCACGGCAGCCCAACCATTCCTTACAACCCCATTTCCCACTCGCTTCACCCATTTTGCGTTCAAATTTGCCTCTACAATTATCCCAAAAGGTCTCCATGGCAATAGATATACAGAAAAACATATAAATTAGGAAATGCTGAAATATGCACTTACCCTACAGGTTACACACAACCAAATGTTTTCCCATAGACTTCTATAGTAACGTTATAGCTTTTTAAAAAATAACTAGGCATTCAACAGCCATAACATTTACATATCTGCACAGTCTGGCCTTAAAGCTGCAATAAAAACACAAATTTTGGCTAGGTTACCCAGCTCCTTTTCCGAGTACAGGAAGCTGAACACACCAACCCCAGTTCCGCACCAAATATCACCTGCTTGAAAATATCTGTGCTCACATAAAGCACAAGTCATCTTGTTCAAAAAGTCAGCACCAAATATTGAAAAATATGGGCAGTTTTAATTACTGGATGGATGTGCATTTAAAAGACATAAAAATCTTACACAATATCATCCAATCACAGCCTGCATATGTCTCTACATCTGTACTGAAGGCTCCCTACGAAAACCGCACTGTCACAACCAGTTCTGATTTAGTGTAGTAGAACCTGTAGACACAACTGTCTAAAACTGCACTTGTCAAATTTGTGATGTATTCATTGTAAATAGATGTAGCTTCTTGGAAACAAATGGAAATTGTTTCAAGTTCAATACTTTTTCCTATCTGACAGGTCTATATGACACCCATATACACATATCTGATGTACCAAAAGAGCTGTGAGGGTTAAATTATTTAGATTTTGTCAACTGATTACAAAATGAACTTCTGTTTTAATAAAGAACTTTCTATGACAGTACACAGGCCTTTATTGTTTATTCTTGTTTCACACAAGGATGGGTTCACAGGTCAATTCCATGGTTGCCAGACGCTGCTTCGAACATATCCCCCCAAAAGTATCTTTTCGACCCCGTATGATAGACAATACTTGGAAATTCAAAACAAATTAGGCTTTCATATTTTTAATTTATTAATGGTGAGTTGTTTGCTGACCTTTGCTGATAACAACTGAGGATAGCAAAGTCTGGTACATAACATGGAATTTGGTTGTGACACTAATAAGCTTAAGTCATAAAAGAAGCTGGACTCAGTGAGCTTGCTGGAACTGGTACCCCTGCCTTGTTTACATAGGCCAATATATAAATGACAGGTCCATATTTGGTATTTTAACTATGGGAGGTCAAGAACCAATGTTGATGCTTTCATTCCAAAGAAAAATTCATAGTGTCAACATCTTGAACCTACTCTTGAAACATGGGGAGACATCGAAGGAATTCGATAACATCTTTTAGAATGGGACATAAAGCTTGGAATTCAGGCAAAAAATTCACCAGTGAAAAGCAAAGCAACTTTAAAGTGCCAAAAACTGTCAGGTTGACAACTGAGCTCCACAAGAAAGTGTGCAGTGTAGGGGTGGCTGGTGTCCAGCAAGTTCAAACACTGACAAGTGAACCGTACCGTCTGTTAAGGCCAAGGAAGGAAAACACCCCTGAGGAGGATAAGAGTTCCCTGAAAACAAAAAGTGAAAGGTAATAACACTTTAAACTATTTATTCCTTTGGCCTAGACTTTGAAATACTTGTAGGGAATACAAGATGCTCACTGCTAAATGATATGGGTGGATAAACTTACCAAGTTCAAGTATTTGTCCTTTAACGAGATCACTTAATAAAAGTTTAATATAATGGACAGTTTTCAGTTATTAGGTACAGCAAGGGATCAAATTCTAATACATATATGAGTGGTTTGTTCAATACCATATAAAAAACAGTGTTGTTACACCCTAATTAAGGGCTTGAGGGGGATAGAAATAGAATATGCATTTGATCTGCCAGGGGAGATAATTCAGAAATGTCGAACACTATCACATACTTAAAAGGCTTATTTAGAAGTTTTCAAAGTAGTCAATGGGTTTTCTTTAATCTGCAGGACTGCTGCTGATGTTTACCACCTGTTGCATGTTGGAGAGACTGACAAACTGTACAATGAGGCATTCCGCCAGCATGCCAAGACTTCGCCTATGTGTAAGGGGGACATTGTCATGGACATAGACAATGAACAGCAGTGGGGACTGAACTGGATAGAGAGACTTAAATGCACTGACTGTACATACCTGTCGGGTACCATAAACTGTACAAGGAGGTAGAGGGTAGTGGAATGAGAAGGGGACGTCGATCTTCCACTGCCAATACTGGACTTCAGATAGGCCTCTCAAAATGTCCCATTGGAAGTGAGAGTTTCCGTGTCCTGTGCATGAGTGCCGATATACCTCCACCATCCCATTCAGGGATGCAGAAAGCTGCGAACAGAGTTTGTGATAATATAAAATCTCAGAACACAAAGGATATGAGAGCCAGGAGGGTGGAAATAAGGGAAATAAATAAATACAGGGGAACAAATTTAAATAACATTAGTTTATCAACTGATGCAATGTACAACAATCCACTTTGTTCAGGTGTTGGGAAAACCCCTTTTCAGCCAGCCACTCAGGTAACCTATGTGGCCACTGAGAACCAAACTAGTGATCATCAAATTTTGGCTTTAAAAACAAAATCAAAGCTCTGTTCAAAGCACAGTTTAGTTGACAACATTTCTTGTGTCAACAACCCAGACTGCACATCTGATTTGCACATGTCAGAATCAATTGGTAATGAAAAACAGTTAGCTGCAGAGTGTTTCAGGGACTTAAAGAAAGATCAAATTGAGGTAGAATTTTTGACAACAGATGCTGACAGTGCAGCTCACACAGCTCTTTCTGAAATGTATGAAGCAGGTGATATGGATGTTTCCCCACAAACTTTTCTCGATACACGGCATCTCTCAGCCAGCCATAGAAAGTTTATTAAAAATTCTAAATTTGTTGTGGATATGATGCCTGCTAGAACCAAAAAAGACAAACAAAGTTTGGCAAATACATTTTCTTTAGACTGTGCATCCAGATGTGCAGCTGAGTTCTCAGCTGCTTACTCAAGTCATGCAGGTGACCTGACAAAGTTGAAGACATCTCTTTCATGTACTTCTGATGCTATTGCAAACTGTTACATGGGTGATCACAGAAAATGTAGAAGGCAGTCATTTGTTTGCAAGGGGGAGAAGAAAAATTGGTTATTGCAAAGTAAATATTTAGATAAAAACTTCAAAATTGGAAACAATGAAACTAACTTTCAAAATTTGAGAAAATGCACTGATTTTCGTCTCGGCCCGAACATGATCGAAAAGACGCAATTCAACCTCAATAGTCAAAAGTGTGAGGCAACAAATAAGGCATTGCGCCGGTCATTACCTCGCGATACCACCTTTGCTCGTAACTTCCAAGGTAGAGCTCACAGTGCTGTTCATAGCGTCAACTGCCAGAGTCCGGTAAAGTCAATTCGCAATCTTCGATCAGGGCTTGGATGTGCTGTCACTGCAAAAGGAAAAATAGATGATGAGATAAGCAAAAGTCATAATAAAGTACTTAAAGCTAAAACATACAAGAAATCACAGAAAAGTAAGGACCGCCGTGCAAGGAAAAAGTTAGAACTATTCAAACTCCATCATTGTAGAAAAATTCATTATTCGAAAGACATGTTATTGAAAAGAATGCATATTTGAGAAATTTACACCCAAAATAGGATAATCCATCTTAAAAATTGCCCCAAACAGAAAGATCTAATGATCAGATACATAACTTACACCAAACAGTAAGGTTTATGACTTTTGGTGCACAAGCCCTGTTGTCGACAGTGAAGTCTCTCCATGTTAATTTCATGGGACTCTACTTTCAAATGCTCAACATTCACACAAGAGGCGTTATGACAGAGATGGCTCACTTCAACTTTGTTGCCAAAGTTGTCAGTGTTGCTAAAACCATCTGGAAGGCATTTATGCACAATGCAGAGGGCTATTCTGTGAGCTCTCTCCTCTGTCCGCGCCTTTGACGGCCACAAAAAGAAGCAACGACCATAGCCCTGCTTATCACGGCAGCCCAACCATTCCTTACAACCCCATTTCCCACTCGCTTCACCCATTTTGCGTTCAAATTTGCCTCTACAATTATCCCAAAAGGTCTCCATGGCAATAGATATACAGAAAAACATATAAATTAGGAAATGCTGAAATATGCACTTACCCTACAGGTTACACACAACCAAATGTTTTCCCATAGACTTCTATAGTAACGTTATAGCTTTTTAAAAAATAACTAGGCATTCAACAGCCATAACATTTACATATCTGCACAGTCTGGCCTTAAAGCTGCAATAAAAACACAAATTTTGGCTAGGTTACCCAGCTCCTTTTCCGAGTACAGGAAGCTGAACACACCAACCCCAGTTCCGCACCAAATATCACCTGCTTGAAAATATCTGTGCTCACATAAAGCACAAGTCATCTTGTTCAAAAAGTCAGCACCAAATATTGAAAAATATGGGCAGTTTTAATTACTGGATGGATGTGCATTTAAAAGACATAAAAATCTTACACAATATCATCCAATCACAGCCTGCATATGTCTCTACATCTGTACTGAAGGCTCCCTACGAAAACCGCACTGTCACAACCAGTTCTGATTTAGTGTAGTAGAACCTGTATTTGTTTAATAAAAAAATGTATTTTTTATTTATTTTTTTCTCTCCTTTATTTGTTCTGGGTTATATATTTATCTAAATAAACATTTAGTTACTTGTGTGTGTGTGGTTGATTCCTTTTATTTGTTGATTTTGATTTTGATTGATTTTGCGGGGTATTTTTCTTTCTTTTCTTTTCTTTTTTTTTTTTTTGGGGGGGGGGGGGCACTTTTCCTTTCGTTTTTCATAATATTATTTTTTTAAGTTGTATATAACGTATGAATCCCTTCTCAGATTACTTTATCTCATTTCTATATGACGTGCTATTTTACTTCTCTGTGTTTTTCTTGTTTTCTCTTCAGTGTGAGTGAGTGAGTGAGTGAGTATGGTTTTACGCCGCTTTTAGCAATATTCCAGCAACATCACGGCGGGGGACACCAGAAATGGGCTTCACACATTGTACCCATGTCGGGAATCGAACCCGGGTCTTCGGCGTGACGATCGAACGCTTTAACCACTAGGCTACCCGACCGCCCCTCTTCAGTGTGAGGTTATACTGTATCATTTTTACTATTTTGATGGTTGTGGTCAATCAGTTTCGGTGTGTCTTTTTAACAAGTTGTTCTTCATTAAGATTCACGGCCAGCCCGATTGTAACAATTACATGTACACTTTGCTTTGACGATGCCGGTTGATGTTATTCAATACAGGCTGGGGTGGGGTTTTTTTAAAATCTATTCTACATGCTTATCATTTCGGGAAGATGATACACATTTCTCTATATTTTGGGTTACTTTGCTTATCTAATTTCCGATTATCATTCTTAGTTTTACTTTTTCTCTTCGGCTGCGGTGATATCCATCCGAATCCAGGACCTTTGCATAGTCCAGATTTAAAGATTATATATCTAAACGTACGCAGTCTTAAAGACAAAGTAGATTTTATCAGTGCTGAATTAGATAGTTATGATGTTGTATGTTTAACAGAAACCTGCTTGCACCATGATATTCTAGCCACTGATATTACACTGATACCATTTTCAAATCGTAGCCTGTATTAAGGAATATATTTTAGATCTTAAATCAGAGTATAACGGACAGCCTGAGCTGGAGGCACGCGTGGATATGTTGACAGTTTTTACGTAGTTAGTGGTAAAACCGAATGTTTGCGAGGATTAATAAGATTTCTGAATTCTGTTACAACAGTAACCGTACATGTATTTGTTACATTAAGTCATTTCATTCAAATTTGTTTGGTATGATTATGTCTTATAATTATTTTAGGATGGAAGGTACAGTTACCAAATAAAATATGCTGAAATATCAATTCATTATGACCATATTTCATAATCTATTTTTTAAAGTAACCCTCCTTACATTAAAGATAACTATTTAAAGAATATAGTACTGAAAGACATTGCAACAAACCAAATAATCAGGGGGGAGACTTTATACTGAGGGGGGCGCGAAACATATCCGCCCGGGGGAGATTTTATTTCAGAACAGATTCTCCGGGGGAGAATCTGTACCGGTATAAACTCTCCAGGGGGAGAATTTGTACGGGGGAGAGTTTATACCGGGACACCGGTACAAAACTGGTAATTACCAGTAAACAGAAACACTGATACATGCTGTATTCCTCTCTCATATCTGACTCACTTGGTGCGAGTCTACGCTGGTGTCCTCCGTTTAATAAGAAGATATATGAATGTAACACATGTCCTGATATCAAGACCACCATCAAATCACAGCTATACAGAAGATGACTGAATGACTGAATTTCTTTATTTCCTCCAGACAAGTCCGAATATTCTCAAAACATCAAGGTTATGTAATTATATAATTAAATAACGCAATAATCAAACACATATATATATATATATATATATATATATATATATATAACTATATAACTATATATATATATATATATATATATATATATATATATATATATAAATTCTGGATATAACATTACAATGCTGTATAACACATGAGGAGTAAGTGTTGTGTGAATTTTAGAATATCGAGATAGGTCAGCTCTACATGATAGTTTATATTTCCATACTTTTTCCTCGTGGGTAGTTATTTCATTTAACACAATCTTTCTAGCATGAATTTTAGCAAGTGCTGTAGTCACTCGTGACTTTGGATCAGTTTTAAAGAAGCTGAAGCTATTCTTCCAAGTAGTAGAAATAATTTCGCTCAGTTGATTCATATTTGCACAATGCACACTGTTATTAAGTGCCTGAAGTAATGTGTAAAGTTTAAAATGAACTCATATAATACTTTTTGGATATACTGTTAAGTTTTCTTTTTCAGTACTTGAGACAATGGGGAAATAATAAAGTACTTTGTTATCGCTGCAGTTGTCCTCTGTTGAGTGCTGCTCTGACGCTAGGCACTGTTTCTGCCTGTATTAACACGGGTCCATAGTTGATATCACATAATCTGCTACCTTACCTTACGGGGTGTGAACCAGGCAGATGTGTATGTGCGCATGTTAATCCAGACAATACACAAGATCAGTCTTTTAAGTTATATGTGAACACGAATTTCCCTTGCAGCCGGTGTACATCACATCTGAGAAGTTACCTAATCAAGGGTGCAAGGTACGTTGGGGTTTCACGTTATTCATCAGCCAACTCTTTTGAATATCCCAACCGACTGTGAATAAAGCCTTCTTTTATGTTCAGAAAAGGGGCACATGTATCATCATCACCAATTCATCATCAATTCCTCATGTACTGTATTTCGTACAGCCTCTGTGCTGATTTAATATTTCACTCCATACAATATCAGCATGTTCCATGCTTTGCCACTTTTAACATATTTTGGAAAGACATTTTAAAGAGATAAAGTTATCGCAGCAACATTCTAGAACATTGTGTTGATTTGAGCAATCCCATAGGTTATTGGCTGTGATGTTATTGTAAATACGTATAGTTTCATGAAATAATTATAAACTGTGAACCGCTGCCTGTATTTTTGTTCCTCGAAAATATCAGTTATTTCACAGTCGCTGAGGAAACGAACAGGAAAACACCAAGAGTATAATATATGTTGATGCGTGTATTTGAACTAAACATCAACAGGAAATATTGACATATGACAAACATTGCTTGGAGGTATGGATTCTGTGCATAGTTAAGAGGAAGGGCTTCTACACAAATGCTTTTATTCATTTAGGACTTGTTCCAGTAAGGAGTAAGTGCAGGATCAAGCATCGCAATTAATATTATATCGAATATACAGGAAACTGTGACCTCATTTACAAACAGAGTCCAAGTGAAGGCGGATATTTAATTTCTTTGAAATGGCTGAGAAAATACAAACAATACATCACACTGATCATCTAAATGCAGAGTGAGTGAGGGTTGTTTTCCGCCACCGTATATGACGTTCAATATTCCTGTAATACCATGATGGTCTTTAAATCATCGAGGTTTGGCACTCTGGTGCACGTGGTTGATAGTATGCGCAATGATCCACGACGTCGGTGTGCGATGACGTACAATCAGCCATGTTACACACTGCATCCGCCCGATCTTTACTTGTCATCTCCCAAGCATGGGGTCGGGGACCTATTCTGAGCCTGAGACCCCACGGGGACAAACGACAGCGATTCGTCATAAAAGAAAATACCACTAACTTAGGTGAAAGAAGGATATTGTACTTGTTAAAAATTGTAAATCGTCAGTTTATAGGCTCTATGACTTGTTACAGAAAATTAGGAGAGTGTGACATAGAATGTTGTTATAGGTAAATTTTGTATACCCAGGAGACTGTTCATTAAGACGTCTTGGTGTGGGATGTATCAGGAGACATTATGGATATATACTGAATAATGAAATCCTCACCAACAATATGAGGGTTAATGATCCAACCTATTAATAACAACAAAATTCTATATTGAGTCTAGATATTGAGTCCTGGTCAATTGGTCGATATTTGAATTTTAGAGCACGTGTTGTTAGAGATTGTGTGGACGACACGACATCAATACCACCAGATAACAAGGATAATAGACAGTAGAAGCAGTTCATGGGGTGTACCAAGGACCAGTAAAGACACAAGTCTAAGAAGGCACATCAGTACCCTTGGTGCCAAGCACTTGGAGGTCATCGTATTACTCATAGGTGCCAAGAACTTGGAGGTCACCGTATTACTCATAGGTGCCAGGAACGTGGAGGTCACCATATTACTCATACATGTAGGTGCCAAGAACTTGGAGGTCACCGTATTACTCATAGGTGCCAAGAACTTGGAGGTCACCGTATTACTCATAGGTGCAAGGAACATGGAGGTCTCCGTATTACTCATAGGTGCCAAGAACTTGGAGGTCACCGTATTACTCAAAGGTGCCAAGAATTTGGAGGTCACCGTACTACTCATAGGTGCCAAGAATTTGGAGGTCATCGTATTACTCATAGGTCCCAAGAACTTGGAGGTCACAGTATTACTTATAGGTGCCAATAACTTGGAGGTCACCGTATTACTCATAGGTGCAAGGAACTTGGAGGTCACCGTATTACTCATAGGTGCCAAGAACTTGGAGGTCACAGTAATACTCATAGGTGCCAAGAATTTTGAGGTCACCGTACTACTCATAGGTGCCAAGAATTTGGAGGTCATCGTATTACTCATAGGTCCCAAGAACTTGGAGGTCACAGTATTACTTATAGGTGCCAATAACTTGGAGGTCACCGTATTACTCATAGGTGCAAGGAACTTGGAGGTCACCGTATTACTCATAGGTGCCAAGAACTTGGAGGTCACAGTAATACTCATAGGTGCCAAGAATTTGGAGGTCATCGTATTACTCATAAGTCCCAAGAACTTGGAGGTCACAGTATTACTTATAGGTGCCAATAACTTGGCGGTCACCGTATAACTCATAGGTGCCAAGAACTTGGAGGTCACCGTATTACTCATAGGTGCCAAGAACTTGGAGGTCACCGTATTACTCATAGGTGCCAAGAACTTGGAGGTCACTTTATTACTCATAGGTGCCAGGAACTTGGAGGTCTCCGTATTACTCATAGGTGCCAAGAACTTGGAGGTCACCGTATTACTCACAGGTATCAGGAACTTGGAGGTCACGGTACTACTTATAGGTGCCAATAACTTGGAGGTCACAGTAATACTTATAGGTGCCAATAACTTGGAGGTCACCGTATTACTCATAGGTGCCAAGAACTTGGAGGTCACCGTATTACTCATAGGTGCCAAGAACTTGGAGGTCACTTTATTACTCATAGGTGCCAGGAACTTGGAGGTCACCGTATTACTCATAGGTGCCAAGAACTTGGAGGTCACTTTATTACTCATAGGTGCCAGGAACTTGGAGGTCACAGTAATACTCATAGGTGCCAAGAACTTGGAGGTCACCGTATTACTCATAGGTGCCAAGAATTTGGAAGTCATCGTATTACTCATAGGTCCCAAGAACTTGGAGGTCACAGTATTACTTATAGGTGCCAGGCTCTTGGAGGTCACCGTATTACTCATAGGTGCCAAGAACTTGGAGGTCACCGTATTACTCATAGGTATCAGGAACTTGGAGGTCACGGTACTATTCATAGGTGCCAAGAACTTGGAGGTCACCGTATTACTCATAGGTGCCAGGAACGTGGAGGTCACCATATTACTCATACATGTAGGTGCCAAGAACTTGGAGGTCACCGTTTTAGTCATAGGTGCCAAGAACTTGGAGGTCACCGTATTACTCATAGGTGCCAAGAACTTGGAGGTCACCGTATTACTCATAGGTGCAAGGAACTTGGAGGTCTCCGTATTACTCATAGGTGCCAAGAACTTGGAGGTCACCGTATTACTCAAAGGTGCCAAGAATTTGGAGGTCACCGTACTACTCATAGGTGCCAAGAATTTGGAGGTCATCGTATTACTCATAGGTCCCAAGAACTTGGAGGTCACAGTATTACTTATAGGTGCCAATAACTTGGAGGTCACCGTATTACTCATAGGTGCAAGGAACTTGGAGGTCACCGTATTACTCATAGGTGCCAAGAACTTGGAGGTCACAGTAATACTCATAGGTGCCAAGAATTTGGAGGTCACCGTACTACTCATAGGTGCCAAGAATTTGGAGGTCATCGTATTACTCATAGGTCCCAAGAACTTGGAGGTCACAGTATTACTTATAGGTGCCAATAACTTGGAGGTCACAGTATTACTCATAGGTGCAAGGAACTTGGAGGTCACCGTATTACTCATAGGTGCCAAGAACTTGGAGGTCACAGTAATACTCATAGGTGCCAAGAATTTGGAGGTCATCGTATTACTCATAGGTCCCAAGAACTTGGAGGTCACAGTATTACTTATAGGTGCCAATAACTTGGCGGTCACCGTATAACTCATAGGTGCCAAGAACTTGGAGGTCACCGTATTACTCATAGGTGCCAAGAACTTGGAGGTCACCGTATTACTCATAGGTGCCAAGAACTTGGAGGTCACTTTATTACTCATAGGTGCCAGGAACTTGGAGGTCACAGTAATACTCATAGGTGCCAAGAACTTGGAGGTCACCGTATTACTCATAGGTGCCAAGAATTTGGAAGTCATCGTATTACTCATAGGTCCCAAGAACTTGGAGGTCACAGTATTACTTATAGGTGCCAGGCTCTTGGAGGTCACCGTATTACTCATAGGTGCCAAGAACTTGGAGGTCACCGTATTACTCATAGGTATCAGGAACTTGGAGGTCACGGTACTATTCATAGGTGCCAAGAACTTGGAGGTCACCGTATTACTCACATGTATCAAGAACTTGGAGGTCACTTTATTACTCATAGGTGCCAGGAACTTGGAGGTCTCCGTATTACTCATAGGTGCCAAGAACTTGGAGGTCACCGTATTACTCACAGGTATCAGGAACTTGGAGGTCACGGTACTACTTATAGGTGCCAATAACTTGGAGGTCACAGTATTACTTATAGGTGCCAATAACTTGGAGGTCACCGTATAACTCATAGGTGCCAAGAACTTGGAGGTCACCGTATTACTCATAGGTGCCAAGAACTTGGAGGTCACTTTATTACTCATAGGTGCCAGGAACTTGGAGGTCACCGTATTACTCATAGGTGCCAAGAACTTGGAGGTCACTTTATTACTCATAGGTGCCAGGAACTTGGAGGTCACAGTAATACTCATAGGTGCCAAGAACTTGGAGGTCACCGTACTACTCATAGGTGCCAAGAATTTGGAAGTCATCGTATTACTCATAGGTCCCAAGAACTTGGAGGTCACAGTATTACTTATAGGTGCCAGGCTCTTGGAGGTCACCGTATTACTCATAGGTGCCAAGAACTTGGAGGTCACCGTATTACTCATAGGTATCAGGAACTTGGAGGTCACGGTACTATTCATAGGTGCCAAGAACTTGGAGGTCACCGTATTACTCACATGTATCAGGAACTTGGAGGTCACGGTAATACTCATAGGTGCCAGGAACTTGGAGGTCACGGTACTACTCATAGGTGCCAAGAACTTGGAGGTCACCGTATTACTCACATGTATCAGGAACTTGGAGGTCACGGTACTACTCATAGGTGCCAGGAACGTGGATGCGGTGCCAGGACCAGCAAATACTCTCGGTTCCTGGGTCTTTTCTATGAACGGCAGATCTATGCATTCTAAAGGTATCTAGAGTATCACAAACAAGTTGATCATTGGGATTATGTTCAAGTCACAGACGTATCAATATCTATGATGTTTATAACTAAATCCAAGATAGTATACCCTGGACATATTCCTAAGTACCCTCTGACGAGCATGGAACTGGTTTACTAAAACCTAGTAGGATTTCAAAGGAACCTGAGCGAGAACGTGTTTGGGATATATATATGATATTACTGTCTGTTAGGCGTGGGGCATTTCCTAATCATACGATGTGTCTGCAATCATGGATAATCGTCATCGGTATACATGTCAGGTTCGTAATTCCCCTACTCAAAACAGAAATGTCGTTAAATGTCTTTCACCAAGGATAATATGATGCGAAAGCATTATACTTATGTTCTATGTATTTCAAAATAACACAGAGCGAATGGTAAATTCTTTATTTAGCTTTGTAGTATAATTTTCACACGGTTGTTATCTCAATGTAGATGTAATGCATAGCCAGAGGTTTTAGATGAAGGAGGTGGTAGGTATATTAGGGATAACTGAGGTTCAAGGCGAAATTCTGTATTATCATAGCTTGGAACAAGATGAACAGACAATGTTTGTATTTCAGTTTGGCCTGTGATCCTTTCTTGTGTACATCCGCGCCAAATGGTGCATACTTCTGTGATCCTGCTGACAGCGCTTCATACTACCGTTGTGAATACGACAAACCCAGACACTTTACCTGCGGTCCTGGTACCTTTTTTGACGGCCGCGTGTGCAACGTTCCTCAGCATGCATGCATAACTTACCCTGCACCCGACACGTCACCAGGCACGGTCATCAACGGGATCTGTAAAGCCACTGCAGTGTCAGGTGACGCCGCAACAACAACGACAACCGGAAGTGCGGGTATCGGAACCACTGCTGCAACAGGAACTTCACCGCTACCGAACACTGATGGTGAGTCTTTCTCAAATTTATCCTTCATATTGTCATTTCACCGAACTGTAAAAACCAATTGCGATACTTTTCCCCAAATGTAACAATATATACTGATCCGCAAAAGAAACGTCACCATGAATAGATATATGAGAAACCTTATTTGTCCAAACACTGTAAACATACTTTGAGACATATTAAAAAGATGAAACTTGGCAAAACTGATCATCAAGATTGAATTAAAGTGTCAAATGTTCTTTAAGTGAAACACAACACTGGTCTCTGAGAAAACGGCATCACAAGTCAGTATCTCGTGTGTCCGCCATGTGCATTGATGACTGTCGGGGAACGTCGAATGGATGAGGCGGTTGATGAAGGCCATAGGCGCCTGAGCCCACACTATGAGGAACGCCCGACGCCGTTCAGCTGCAGTTGTCGGCCTTGGTCGGACGTCATTCAGCCATCTTTGAATCTCAATGTGCTCAAGGTGCTCAATGGGATTTAAATCGGGACCGAGGGCAGGCCACTGTAATGATCTGATGCCATTCTGCTGGAGGAAGTCTCTTGTTGCTCTGGCAGTGTGGGCACGGGCGTTATCATGCTGAAACTCATGATTGCGGCGACGTGGCAAATGAGGTATGGCGTGTGGTCTCAAGACTTGATCAATGTACCGAGCTGCTGTGACACCATTACTTCTCCCTGGACCAATGTTCTGGAAGACCACAGGGACGACCCTCTGTGCAAGACCAATTCCACCCCACGCCACGATGCTCGGACCACCCTACGAGTCTCTCTCAACAAGAGAAGAGGACTCTTCTCCACTGCCGGTGGCGCCAATGCTAGCGCTGTGTTGCCCACTGAAGACGTTCCAAACGATGACGTGGTGTCAGAATGGGTCCTCGGTGTGGCCTGTGACGATGTCCGCACTAATGTGTCGCTGGTGTCTGTCGAGCAGTTTCCACAGCAGTAACAAAGCGATCTTGAAGATGCTGTCGCACAATCTGACGATCCTGACGTCGGGTGGTGACCCTTGGTCTTCCACTATGTGGTCGGTCATCTGTAGTGTTAGTGGTCTGGTACCGTTGCTAGAGTCTGTATGTGGTCCTTACGTGGCATTGAAATGCATTGGCTACTTGCCGGGCAGTTTGTCCAGCGTGCAATCGTCCAAGGGCTTGGTGTCGGCTGATTTCTTGTCAATCTTGGCATGTGGTAGCAATTCAATAACGAATGAATGTTATCCGATCTGGGTGGATTTGTATAGGGCAGGAAATGGGGGAACGCATGTGCATTTCAGTTTGCACGGAGCTCATGTGCATCAGGTTACCATGGCCGTTGTCGTGATGCGTATGGGCGATCGGTTTAATTGTCATCTGCTTTGTTTTTTTATCATCAAATTTCATTTTTCCGGACAAGGTAATGTTAAATTTTAGAAACTTTGACAAAAATTACCCAGATATTTAAATGACAACATTTCATGCAATCTTACCTGCGGTGACGTTTCTTTTGCGGTTCAGTATATATCACTTACACAAATTCTCGTTACACTCTAGGTTCTAAAGCAAGACGTCTCTGCTTACATGTGCTTTTTATTACAATAAACCGTGGTACAAATATAGAATACTAAGGTGCGAGAACCTTTTGGGAATTAGTATCAGTCAATTTTTCATTCGAGGGTTTGCCCTACGAACACAAAGTATCATGCAGAAATTCAGTTAACAAAGTTGCATCAAGTTTTGTCTGTGTTGCAGCTGCGGAACATGGAGTATTATGGCAGCGGTATAAAAGACGTCTAAATATGAAGAGTGCATGCGCAGTTTTCAAGGAGTACCCCGTGGCCACGCCCATATCATGTGCGTCTAAATGTACGATGTCGGGAACCTGTACGGGGCTCAGTCTGTACACACACCCATAACGTGACACCCACACTACGGTATGTGTGTCAACTCGTAGCCTGTCCGGGTGATCATTTGCTTGCTCTCGCAGCAGAATGTGCCTTTTATGACCAAATATGACGTTGTTATCGGTCACTTGTGATGTCACTTAATAAAGGATGTTGTTGATCATCAGAAAATATATTCATGTAAAGTACTCTCTGAATAGGTTTGTTCTCACAATGAAATAAAGGTGTGCGTTTGAAATGCAAAGTGTTAATTTATTTTCTGTCACTGGTACTCTGATAACACTGGACATAGAAACATCGATTTATTGTCAGCAAAGGGTGTAGAGACAGTGTCCCTACCTGATGAATGAGTGTGAGTGAGTTAAAATTTATCGGCATGATTTCAGCCATATAGCGACGAGACCAAGTTAATATATTCACAATTGAGTCATTTATACAAAGTTATATTTAAGAAAAAATCATGAAATATATTTGAGCATAACAATATCATGTATACAGTTTTAAAACACGGACTATAGGCCACCAGTAACCAAAGCTTGGCCACCTCGCTGGGGATCATGGGGACCTACAGTACCTCTGCTTCCTGCATGATACCCCAGCAGGATTTACGTCATCACTTTAGCTACCGGTGGTAGTGCACAATACTAGCCAATATTAAAAAAATACTCAGCATTGAGTTGGCTTAAAAACACCGGTTGATGTCATATCGATTATGATAGGATTACGTGTCACACAGGGGGACAATAATTTTACGATACTTTAACATCCTGGACAGAGCCTTCATTAATGTCAGTTCATAATAGCATCACACCAAATTTAAAAACAAGCATTTAACTATTCACATACATATTTAAAATCTATTATACAGATCAATTTCTTTCAAGTTGATGATAATGAGATGTCCGCTGACACGTGAAAAGAGATCTTTCAGATTTACGCTTTGATAATGTGAATCCCTTGCGATCGCAAAGTCCACACAGTCAAGCAATATATGCTTGACGGTGAACCTTTTATCACAAGGGATACACTTAGGAGGTTTGTCCTTATCTGTCTTAAGCAGATATTCGTGGGTAAACCGACTGTGGCAAATACGACACTGTCGTAAAACGACCTCGTCATGTCTTGACTGACAACCCAAGAAGGTATGACCGATTGTTGGTTTTAATTTGTGAAGTGTATTGCTTCCAACTGGGTGTCCCACCTCTTTGGCACGAGATCCCGAATATAACTCTTGATGGTTGGTTTGAAATCACTGTACGGAATCTGTAGTGGAGATAATGGTTTGTCAAGAGCTGCTTTAGTTGCAGCATCGGCTTTTGGGTTACCTGTTATGCCTACATGACTTGGTAACCAGCAAAAGACGATGTCACAGTGGCCAGTTGAAAGATAATTATATAGTTCTAAAATGTCTAGAATAATAGGGTGACATTATGAGACACTTTTAAGTACCTGAAGGTTTTTTATGTTAGATCTTGGTCAAAGCTGTTGGGATATAGCTTTGGCCTCAGCAAAAATAATTGAACTATTATCTGGGATTCTTGAGGCGACAGTTCTGGATCCAATGAAGGTGGCACTTGCAACTTTGCCACCATTCTTGGACCTGTCTGTGAAAGTGGATCTGTGGGAATTATACTTTGATCGTAATTGGTTATGTGATTGTTGATATACCAAAGGATTAGTTTCTGACTTTTTTAGTTGGTTAGAGTGAGGTCTACTTCTGGCTTCACTATCAGTCAGGGAAGAGAAGACAGAAGTCGGGTAGGTGATATAATATTTAGATCTATTTGAGCTGCAATGATGTGTGGTAGAATTCTGATTTCAAGCAGTGAAATCAAGTTGGTCAGATTTCGAAACAGGTTCTCATATTCTCCTTATCCGGTTTGTATCTACGACAAAGGTGTAAACAGTTTGTTTTGGATTCAGAAAATTTGAACCCACTTATGTGGGCCCATTTTTTAATTTTGTTTAGACAGAGCTGCAGTTGTCTTTCTACCTCGACAAGAAATGCTGAAATCGTCCACAAAAGTGAACCATCAACGCTATTGTTTTATACTTCAGTGAGACTATTAATTTTGATGCCGAAAAGTGTGACTGATAGTATGTTGCCCTGAGGGACGCCCTGATCGAAATGATCAGATAGGGTAGAGCCCACTCGTACTTGAAATTGTCTGTTGTTTGAAAACTGAGATATGAACTGAGGTTAACTGCCCCTCAATCCAAATTCATGGAAATCTTTTAAGATGCCATGTTTCCACGTTGTATCATATGCCTTCTCTTGATCGAAAAAGATTGATACAGTATGTTTTGTGTTGACAATGGAATTCTTAATAAATAATTCTAAACGCACCAAATGGTCAATGGTACTTTTTCGGAAACCACACTGGATGTCACTCAGGAGGTTATCGGTCTCCAATTACCAGACTAATTGATCAGTGACCATGCGGTTGTCCATATTTCTTCAAATATTAAGTAACGTTTCCATACATGAATCCGGCAAGTGTTTCAGGAGCTGATAGTGTATGTTGTCGGTTCCTGCTGCAGTGTCATGGGCAGTGTGTAAGACAAGCTGGTCTTTGTAAAGTTTCACCTCGTCACAGGTGGTCCGTCAGCGGGATTGATAGTTGTAAGTAGTGTTGGAAAATGGTCACTTCCACAAAGGTCATAATGGACTGATATTCAAATTCGTTTAAAATATTTGAATCTGTCAGTGAAAGATGTGGGGCAGAGTATGTGCCAGTGGCAGGATGCAGATATGTGTTATTACCATCAATGAAGATGCATAAATCATTGTTTGAGATAAAATCTTCAAGGACTTTTTCCATATTACTCGTATCAGTATGACCATTTAAATTGTCCATGATGATACAGAGCTTCGTTAGCTGATCGTACAAAGGTCTGAAGATTTACGGATAGTAGAGGAAGGTGGAAAATGCAAATGTAAATACAGTGTAAATACTATTTTCAAGGTAACAGCTTTTAAAGTAGTGTTAAGTGGAACAGGGCTATGGATTATGCTCTGCTTCACCAGGACAGAGGAACCACCTGTGCTTTATCACCAGGAAGGGAAAACGACAATTAAAAGTTATATTTCAATAAAATTCTTCTTAAGACCTCTACAATTCCGTTGTATAATGTACTGTGGATTCATGGCAGTGCTTCTACAGGTGAAATGTCACGCGAACGTGAGGAAGACTTTGATGTACTCCTATTATTGTCATGTGGAGATGGAATTACCTCCATGTCCAGAGGGGACCCGTGAAGATTCCGGGGTAGAATAGGTCTTCAGCAACCCATGCTTTCCGTAAAAGGTGACTATGCTTGTCGTAAAAGGCGACTAACGGGATCGGGTGGTCAGGCTCGCTGACTTGGTTGATGCATGTCATCGATCCCAATTGCGTGGATCGATGCTCATGATATCAATCACTCGATTGTCTGGTCCAGACTCGATTGTTTACAGACCGCCGTCATATAGCTGGAATATTGCTGAGTGCGGCGTTAACCAACCAACCAACCAACCAAGTCCAGAGGACCAAAGGAGTTATGGACTTCTATTGGGACCTCTAAAGGAGAGGTGGCCCTTTGGTGTTCGCACCTGTTTTCAATATTTATTTTTCAACAGCTGGGTTTTGGAGTGAAGCGGTTCGGAGTGGCTGGACAGACTTGCCCCTGTCAGTCAGTCTAGCAGTCGATAGAGGCAGTGGTGAAAGAAGGACAAGAGACAGCAGCACAGTACGAGATAGAAGAAGTGGTTGCAGTAGAACCTACAACCGTCTTCTTAGCTTCATAGTAGGAGAGGTTTTGTGCAGTCTTGATTTTCATTATCTGTAATCTGTGATTTCGAAGAGGCCATATGGTTCCAACCGAAGTTTGAACACTTCACATCCTATCTGCATTAGCGGTAACAAACAGCAGAGGCATGGCAGGACTTGGAACCATGTCCAAACGCTTGGCAGGTGAGTGAGTGAGTATCGTTTTACGCCGCTTTTAGCAATATTCCAGCAATATCACGGCGGGGGACACCAGAAATGGGCTTCACACATTGTACCCATGTCGGGAATCGAACCCGGGTCTTCGGCGTGACGAGCGAACGCTTTAACCACTAGGCTACCCGACCGCCCGCTTGGCAGGTGTAGCACCTGAGTGGATTGGGGATATACACCACCACTCCAATGCTACAGTAACCAGCTTTAATCGAATGTGGAATCTTTTAACGCGCGAGGTATACTCGGACCCCGTGGTACCGCGGCATTCATCGTATCGCGGCATTTGTGATTTCCGGTAGTTCACGCGGCACACGCCTCTTAGCGGCTGTCTATTAATGCAAATCAGTAACCAGGAAGTGCTCACTTCGTAAACAATTTCAATTTCCTCGGAATGTTCCGTCTGCTGTAAGTAAGGAGTTATTAATCCGTTGATACATATTTCTGGCATCTGTTGTAATATTGCCTTACCCCCATCTATCAATGGCCAACGATATAACCCGCAGTCCCCAAGTAAACATTCTCTATCGACCTGAACTAGATCATCTGCATATTCATGGCGACTAACGGAAGTTACGTAGTCCGCACATTTTTTCCTGCTCTGTGCCCAGAATCTATTGGGAGATCATAAGGGCCATTATGCCAAACTTAGAAATACGTTCTTCGCTAGTAACTAAAATATAAATACATACTTTGGGCATACTGGGAGAGCTTTTTATATATTTATTGTTGACTTTTAACATTTTTCCATTTTGTGACAAATTATTGTCATCCAATTTTTTTTAAACAATCTTAAAATATCATTTCTGATATTTTTGATGTTGACTTATAAAAAGGCCCGGCTTTTACTCGGAGCTACTAATGTAAATAATGAACTTTTATCAGTAAAATATGCATTGTTTGATAACATGAATGATATCTAATACAGAGAACACGAATACACATAAAGGTTAGTGAGTGCATTTTGTTCCGTTTAGCGTACATGACAAGTACCGCGATACCCCGAGGATGCAGGCTATATGTTGGTCGATTCAACAACACCGTTCTTCTTGACAGTAAACGGCTTCACAGCTGTGACTGACTGTAGGACAAGTTATTTGTCAATTTGATCTTAGGTGATATTGGACAGTCAGTGTGCTCTACCACGGACAATGCCCTTGCATGAGTTCATTGTGTTGTGCTCAGAAACAGCAACCTTGATGTTGACAAAATCGTTTAATTTGAGC